ATCTTCAAATGAAAATAAAAAAAAAATAAAAAATATTAAAATTCAGTTTAAACTTACAAAAATCAAATTCAATCGGATTGGTTATTTCATGCTCCACAACAGTTCCTGGAAGACAATTACCTGTATGGTCAGATTCTTTATTGGTTGTTGGGAAGAAGCGGGCATGGTGACGTTTCTGAACTACTATGAACGTAATCTTTGGTGCGTAATTAATATCAAGAGCTTGACAAGCAGCTAATCATTATTATTGTATCAAATATATATAAGCACACATAAATATAATATTAAACAGATTTCTAATATAATTAATTAATTTCAAAATTATTATAAGTGACAATGACGATGACGATGACGACAATGATGATGATGATGATGATGATGATGAACCTCTAACAGCGTTTACTTCTCCACTAAGAACACTAGCAAATTGACCTTCAGATACACCGTCCCGATAAAATAATATTCTTTCAGGTTTTCTTCCACAAGTTTGATAAAACAATTTTAACAATTCTTTTACCATGCTTGTCAAATCAGCAATAATCTCTTCCCTTCCATGTTGTACTCGGATGGAAGCAGCATATCTTGATGCCTTTGCATCCATTGATGCGCACAAAGCAGCTATTGATGGCTTATTCTGTGAGCCTGTTATTTGAGACTTTTTTTTTAAAAAAAGCCACGGTGATGATGATGATGATGATGATGATGATAATGATAATAAATTTAAAAATAACGCAAATACCAGGAGGTGGATGTGTAACGTCTGCACCCATCAAAATTGTTGGTCGTTCAGATATGAATGGGATCTCTGCAGGGTTTAAGAAAGAATTCATTCCTCCAAGTTTAACATTAATTTTTAGACAAACGTTAGCACAATATTGTTTCTTTGGTGCTAGCATGTTTTTGCTTTGTATACACTGTGTAGCAACTCCGATTTCGGTATCACAAACACGTTTTATTTCAGCGTATAGACCAATTCCAGTATTTGGAAGCACACATAGAATTAATTGTGGTTGTGCTTTGGCTGCATTTCCAGCACGAAGCCATGCTTGTTTCAATATAGCCTCTATATCACCTTGGGCATTTGCATGTATTACTGGCGGAGTCCTATTTGGAATATTCTGATGTGTGTGTAAAATAAAACAAATATAAAATTAAAGTGATAAATTTTAAACTAGAAGGAGGAAAGAAGGAGGAAAACTTATAAGGCTAATAAATAATAGTAAAGCAATCAATGTATGGGTAAAATGATATTATGATAATGTATATGCGTATATGTCAAAAGCATACCATTCCTGAGTCTTGACAAGTCGAGACAAATTCCCGATTAAACGATGCTATTGCTTGATCTGGAAGCTCACGATCTGATCCAAATACAACGATGGACCAAGAACCTAATGTGGAACCGACAGCAACTTTTTTATCTTTTAAATTCCAGACACCTTCTTTGGGTCTAACATTAGGATCTTTAGATGAGGGATTAAATTGAAGTGTTGGGGTTGGTAATATTCGAGCAGGAACCTTAAAACAATCATGATTATTTATAACTAATTTAAATAATTATATTTTCTATATTTATTTTATGACAATAGATATAAATAGACAGATAGTCAAAACATACCGCCCCCATCTCATTCGAGACTCTTATACCAAATTGTTGTAGATATTCATTATCGCGATAATTGAGTACATCGTATCCATTTTTTATTTTATTTGCTTTGATATTTGGTGATACACAAGTTAATCTAATCATGTCGGCATTTTGTTTATCATTTAATTTACGAGTGTATCTTTGACCCTAGTTCAGCATAATGGGAAAAATTTGATTATTATATAAAATTTTTCTATTTATTATAACATGAAAAATCAGAGTTAAATTTTTTAAAAAAAAAAAAAAATAATAATTACTTCTACAATTTCACAAACTTCTATTGGAAAAAATATATTCCTTTTGACGACAACACACGGAAGATGAGGATAATTTAGACGACGCCTATAGGTTGTAGCAAAATAAGAAGCAACATTAATTTGACCAGTTTCATTGACAAACATAGTATCACTTGCTGGGGTTAAAGTAATTCCTATTATTCTAAATGTTCTTCTGGCAGTAGCTTCACCCCGATGTATTACACGTATTTTAAGCCCTTTAAGAAATCTTTCAAGCTTATGATAATCTCTATCCATAACACCTCTTCTAAGATCATCTGGATCACGACGTCCCAGTATTTTAGCAACCGTTACTATTAGCGAACCAGATTCATAAAATGCTGTTGCACTTAAATTAATGTTGACATACATTTGACCTAGTAATATAATATTTATTTATTATTTAAGTTGTAAAAAATAATAAGCACATATATATATATATTTCTCTCGTAGTAATATGAATGATTTCTTATTTTATTTACCTTGACCTGGTCTAGCTGACTGATAATAACCTTGCCATGCCTCTAAACCTCCAAAAAGAGGACCAGCTTCTTTAGGTGTGTAAATCGATCGACCTACCGTGGAATAATTCATTGACGGTTGATGCCTGATAAGAACATCAAGGGCCATGATTGCTACAAAAATAACAAACAGAAGAATGTGTTTTTATTTGTTTATTTTGTAGCAATCATTATTTTTTATTTTATTATTACCTTTCAAAACATTGGATGTAAGTCTAGATCTTCTTCCAAGATAGCTATAAAGCTCATTGATGTTTATTTCACCGACTTTTTTTATACTGACTTTAAAAAGCCTAGGAAGACGTCTATTATTGGCGGCGGCAGCAGCACCAGTAGCATCATCGTCATGAATTGTTACCTTATTTGTAAAAAAAAATTATTTTTAAAATTAATGATTACAAAAAGAAAAATAAATGTTATAATTACATCAAAACTAGTAGTTTCACCAGGTGGTAAAGGCAAAAGCCTTGGAGCAAAGACATTTTTACGACCTTTTTTTAAAAGATATTAATAGAAAATTTCTTATATGTATATATGTATGTATATATATATATGTGTGTGTGTGTGTGTGTAAGTAAATCGCAAATTTACCATCGAAAACTGGTCTTATTCCACACAAGATTCCTGTTCTATTTAATTCTACAAATTCTTTATATACTTTTCTATTTAAAGCAGGAGGTACGCTTGGTGTGATTGTGATGTCATAGTGTATAATATCTGCTTCAGGCAAAGAAGTCATTTTAAAAAAATTTGTATAGACTCTAATGGCTCGTCCTTCACTACCAAAATTTGGTCTTTCTACAAAATCAGTTAGTACTGTTGTCATTATGTAAATTTTACTTGATTTTTATTTTTATTTTTTTTGGTTTTTTATTTATTTTTATTAAAGCAGATTTGATAAATTTATAATGAGATAATCGATAATCATAACAACGTTTTATAACACGTGAGCGATATAATTTATAGAAATTTAAGGGGTCCCCAGAACTAAATACATAAAAAGTAAGCTCTTTAGATTTTCTTTTTTGATGAAATTTGGGCAAAACGTCAACTTTTTGATAATTCTAGTTTGTCACCAAGTTCTATTAGTCAGCATACAAAAATACATTTCATCGATCTTTGGATTTTGATACTTTTTTGGCTTCTCACGATTTCGAAGCAATAGCCACTGCATACACTCGCTCAAATCTGATTTCCTTTAAAGAAAGTTGGGATGAGACAAAGTCGTCCAAGTTTGCTTTATTTTTAAATGTCAATAATTTCTTTTGAGTTCAAAACAACCGAATAGTTTTAACTTGGGACTTATTGCTCGTGTCGATTTTTCAGTGGGAAAGAGCGAAAGAAACTAGTAAGATTTTTTTTTTTAATTTGTTAATGTCAAGTTCTTTTGATTCCATAATAATTGAGCGAGTGCAAGATTCTTTAATTGCAGATTATTAGTTCATTTCTACCAAGAACAGACAACGTCGTGAATCATCGAGTAACATCTTTCTCCTCCTTGGAGTCGTTACTATACTTTTTGCAATTGTTGCAAATATTCACCATAGATAATTGTTATCCCTTTGAACTTTTCAGATTGACAAAAGTTGAGGTTATTTATTATATCGCTAGTTAATGTTTTAATATTTCATTTTCTATGTACAGAGTCATTGTGATGTCGCCTCATTTGTTGTCTTCAAACAGAAATTCATTTTATAAATCAACTTTTGTGGAATTTGATCAATAACTTTTCATGATATGTCCGCCTGATAAGAAAAGACTAATTTTGGTGACAATATACTTGTTATATACATATAAACAGCATACATATATATATACATGATAATTATATATATATATATATAAAGGTTTCAAAGCTACGCAGATTTCCGATTTTTACATTTATAAAGAAAATAAATAAATATAACTTTGGAATTGTTTTTTATTATTAAAATTGAAATTGATTATTGCAAAGCACCGATTAGCCAAAGTTCATTTATCGAACTTTGTTTGGAAAATTGCATTGTGATCAGATTTTTTATCCTTGTTATCTATCTATTATCAATCACTTGATAAGATTTAAAATTAAACCGGGCGGGGACTAACCCGCACGGAATTTATTTTACTCGAAAAATAGTTGAGGAAAATAAATTTAAATTTAAAAATAAAATAAATAAATATATTGGTTATCCTGATTTTTTTCATCATGTAAATAAATAAGCATTGTGATTTTTTTGCTTACGTATAATAAATATATTTTTAATAAATAAACAAACGCGATTTGATTACCAGATTACCAATCAAATATTATTAATTTAATATTACTAATTATTTATAGGAAACACGATTTTCTTGGGTCATTGTGCGAAGTTTTTTAAAAGTTTGTTTAAAATATAAATAAAGAAATCCATTGATTAAAGAATATTCTTTTTTTATTTCTAATAACAGATGCCCAGAGATTCGTTCCCTTACCAAGAATATAGCTGCGGTACTTTATTTCGCCATTTTTCGGCAGAATTATTCCCGAATTTCCCGATAATTCCATAAAGAACTTCCATATACTAATTTAGCAAAAAAATGGTTTATAAATTAACAGATCGTTGTAATCATTATCCCATTAGTATCATACGTCACACTTTATTATACCAGCAATTTCTAATTTGCTTATTAATTTAAATTGACTAACAAATTTAAAAATATAAATAGAGCGGTTTTCGATCAAATGTAAAAAAAAAAAAAACAAATTTTTTTAAAAAACAAAATTTTAAAAATACATTGAAATAATAATAATAATAATGCAACCAACAAACACTTCAAATAATTCTTCGTCAGATATTGTTAGTAGTAATCATTTACTTATTAATAATCCAGTACATCCAATAATCAAGCTTCCGTTTCCACCAAAGATTGATCCTCTAGATCTTATTCCAGTTAAGCCTTCATCACCACAAGCAACACAATCTAATTTTAAGCCAACAAGGTCACCGAACGCCTTTATAATTTATCGTAAAGCTTTCGTTAAAGCTGCACGCGAAGAAGGACAATGTTTACCAATGACAGTGATATCATCGATGGCATCATCTTCATGGGAGCAAGAGCCAGATGAGGTCAAAGCAGAATATAAAAGAATAGCAAAGGCTGCTTATTTAAAAAGAAAGGAGTTGTATCCTAAAGAAAGAAAAAGAAGAAGAAAAGAAAGATGGAACATCGTTTCATTTAATGCACCAACTAATAATAATAATACTATTAACGATGATAATAATACTATTAACGATAATAATAATACTATTAACGATAATAATAATAATACTACTAACGATAATAATAATACTATCAACGATAATAATGATATTATCATTAGTGATAATACTTTAATTTCACCTCCACCGCTATCTTCTACTTCTTCTTCGGTATTTTCTTCTCCGATTGCACCAAACTCTTCAGAATCTTTAGAATATAGTCCACAAATTGATTCAAATAGTAATTTTATAAGTAATCCATACGGAAGTAATAGTTATGATCCGTTATTATTAACACCAGAATTTTCAGAACCTTCAAATTTTGAAAATATAAATTTTAATAATTTTAATCAACCCGAAATATTTAACCTGAGCGATTGGTTTGGATACGATGGACAAATACAAAAACAAACAGCAGACAACGGCATCAATAATGAAATTTATAAAAACATTTATTATGGTTATAATAATAACAATCTTTATTTTTAATCATTTTTATTTTTTATTAATTATTTTATTTTTTTTTAAATTACTTTTTATTATTTTAAATTATTTTTATTATATATGATGTAAATATTTTTAAATATTTTTTAAATTTATGTAAGTAAATATATATCTATATACATTATGTTTTTTTTTTATATAGGAGAAAAAAAATTCCCTCGATTTAAAATATCAATAAACATTTTTCTAGAAATAAAAATCATAAAATCATACGTCATCAGTTTTTTTTTTTTTTTTTTTTTTTTTTTTATTACAATTATCATGATCATGATTGTTTGTTTATATTAATTATTATATTAATATTTATTATTGTATTCAAACTAATTCCGCCCGCCATCTGGCTTATCTAATCCCGATTTCCGAATGTCGTCCAAAAATAGTGATGATGAGGGGAAGGGAGAAATAATCCTTCCGCAAGGCTTTTTTAAGCAATTAATATATTATTAATTAATATTATTATTAATTAATTAATATTATTATTATTAAATATTTATAATTCGGCCGAAGTGTATGTTACACGTATCAAAATTTTTTAGATTAACCTTTTTGATACGCATCGGTTGAAATTATTAAACACTTGGATTGTTTCTTCGTTTAACAAATGCATCAATCGAGAGTGTCTTTTCGTCTAGGGAGTATTTTTGGGGGGTTTATTATCCTAAAAAAGTAAATCAACACAAATGTGAATATCATTTAATATTAATTCCATTTAGCATAATTCGATTCATCCCATAGATTACATCATCACTATTTTACTATTCTCCCCGAACCATTATTAATATCTATCTATCTTCTAGTCGTTGAAATTCACATTCATTTGGCTCATAGTTGAATACTTATAAATAATAACGGTTGACTAACCTATTATATATTTTATATTACCTTTACATATTAATATATGGGAGATTTTTCAATGTGAAAAAACCAATTTGAGTTAATGCTACCACTCCACTTGGAATGTTTTTGATACCTGGATAGTATTATGTTTTTTTTTTGGACAGATTGTTATTTTGAGAGCGGGTTTTTTTCCTGTAAATTTTGTGCGTCAATACAATTACAACTATGAATTATTTTGAAAAACTCCTTTTTTTTATTATATTGATAGAAATAGAAATGTAGAGAAAACAGAAAAAATGAATAAATAATTTTTTTAATTTGATCTAAATTAAATTCAGCTAAATCGTGATCAAATTTTTTTTAAACATAAGCAAGCTCTGGCGGTTTCAGATCGAATGATATGTCTAACCCAAAGAAAATAACCGCTCACTTGTATAGTTGATGTCATGTTAATTAAACCTTGCAACCGAGCAAAGGATATACGTAACACCGGTTGCTTGGATGGCTTAAAACTAGTGTGATAAGTCCAAGATTAAATAGGAAACCTATTCTTATTTTTCTTGAAAGTGCTCAACACCGTAAAGTGGAAGCAGATACTGCTTACCAGTCAGTAATAGACTATCGACATAACTTATTATGGGTCTGTACGGACACTTTTTATTGCCTTAAATGGAAAGATCATCTTAAAAATAAAAATATTCGGAGAACTTTGGCCGTTTTAAGGGTGTAGCCTCTGATATGATTGATTGAGGCCCTATTTCAAAATAGCTCGTTACCGAGGGATGGTTAATTCAATGACAAAAGTTGATAAGTTTAAATGCAACAATGCTGTTGATTGTATTTGTACAATAGAACTTTTCTTTAATGAAACCCATTGATCCAAATGATTGTTGTTATCATCACTTGTCAATTGCATATTATTGAGCAAGCATTCCTATAAATTTTCTTTAGTATTCGCGTGATACGGAAACATGATTTCCGCCTTAAAGATATACATAATAATAAACATAAACATAGATATCAGGTCATATTTTTTTATTGACCTATTACTATGATCATGTAAGTATATGGTCATAGGATTTGGTCATAGGTTTGTCATAAATTTATTGACCCAATAAATTTACAAAATACATCTTTTTTTATATTGTCTTCTTTTACACTTTCAGAAATTCAATACCAAAAAAATTTAATCTTTCGCTTTTTTGAATATTAAAAATTTTTTCTCTTGGAGAAAACCTTTAATATATAATTTTGATTAGTGTCAATGATATCAATCATCAAAATTCTTTTTGGTCATTAGTTGTGAGACCATTACTAACATTACACACTAACACTAATACGGAATTTGTGATTTTTTCCGAAATTCAAAAGCGATTATTATTACACGTTAGCTATTTTAATATCAATTACATATTTAAATAATAAACAAATATATATTTTTTTTTTGACTAGAAGTTTCTAAAATTATTTTTGTGTGGCTCATGTTCTTTAAAAGGATGCCCAGGAAACGATTTTTGTATATATTTAAAAACATCTCATGATACACTATACTTCCAGAATCATAATAACGATTGCGTGACACGATTTTTGATGATATGCGTATGTGCATGTGATAGATAACTCTGAATATGGTAAACACTTTCCGTTTTTAGACATAATATTCCAATGCGAGTGAGCATGCAAGATTCGTGATACCTTTGAGCATTAAAACAATGTTTCAAATACTCAAATATTTATTGGTGATTAAGACAGCGGAATATATTTAGTGAATGGTTAAATATTTTATCAGATTTTATTAATAGAACCATTGATTAAATAATTAATTAAATTTATTGGCCATGTTTCATAATTTTATTTTTAGAAATTGGTTGGAAAATCCGATATCATTTATCTAAAGATATTCCACTCAGATATGATTCTAATGAAAACGAATTTATTTTTTTACTAATATTATTAATCACTATTATTATTAAACATAAACAAACAAATAAATAAAAATGGATTTTTTAGCATGGAAAAATATTTTCGGAAAAGGCATGGTTGATTTCTTGGCAATAATGAGTCAATCCCCCAAAATTGTTTTTTTTTTTTTTTTAGTGACAAAAAGTTCTTTTTTATATTTTTGGAAAAGCATGGTTTGTTTAATAATAACATTTTAATTGATGGGAAAGTATTTTTTTTTTTTTTACATTTTCAAAAAGGCATGGGTTGTTTAATCAAAATTATTCTCTTTTACATTTTCAACAAGCTTGGTTGATTCCTTTAACAATAATGAATTATTTCCAAATTGTTACTCTATAATTCAGACGCAGCAATCAATTGTTTAAAATACTTAAAATACTTGAATAAATGATCGACTAATCGAATTTCCAAATTTAGTGGCACAATAAGTCAGACGCAGCAATCAATTGTTTAAAGTACCTTATATATAATATAAATAACCGACCGACTTATTATGCCTTTTTTTAGTAGCAGGAAAGAATATTTACATTTTCAAAAAAAAACCCCCTTGGTTGATTCCTTTAACAATAATGAATTGTTACGTGGCAGGTAAAGTATTTTTACGCAGCAATCAATTCTTTAAAGTGCTTGCTTTGATAATATAAATAAATGATCGAGTTTTACATATGTATTGTGCCTTTTTTTAGTAACGGGAAAGAATCTTCTTTATGTTCCCAAATGAGTTAATTACAAATTCAATGGCGGAGAAAATATTTTCAAATTACACGTGTAAACTCAATTAGTTAGACGCAGCAATCAATTGTAGCGGAAAGAAACCTTTACATTCTCAATCAAAAAAAAAAAAAAAACTTGGTTACAAATAATGAATTGTTACGTGGCAGGAAAAGTATTTTACGCATGTAAACTCAAATAAGTTAGACGCAGCAATCAATTGTTTAAAGTACTATATGATAATATAAATAAATGGCCGACTTACTGTGCCTTTTCAGTAGGAAAAAATCTTTACATTTTTTTAAACAATAATTAATTAATTCCAAATTGTTACGTGGCAGGGAAAGTATCTTACATACATAAATCAGACGCAGCAATCAATTGTTTTTAAAGTACTGCTTGATAATATAAAAATAAATGATCGACCTATCGAGTTTTACATATGTATTGTGCCTTTTTTTAGTAGCAGGAAAGAATTCTTCTTTATGTTCCAAATCAAATTTAATGGCGGAGAAAATATTTTCATGAGTCAAACGCAGCAATCAATTGTTTAAAGTATTTGATGCCTTTTTTAGTAGCAGGAAAGAATATTTACATTCTAGAAAAAAAAGGCTTGGTTAATTCCTTTAACAATAATGAATTGTTACGTGGCGGGAAAAGTATTTTTACGCATGTAAACTCAATAATTCAGACGCAGCAATCAATTGTCAAAAATCTGTTATACCAAGAAATCCATTATATTAAAGAATTTTATTATTGGACTCAATCAAGATTTTTAATTAGCTCCGTCAATTCAAGGTATGCTGTGTATATTAACATTAATTTGAGCTGGGTTGGAGGTGATCAGGTTGTAATGAGAATTGATGTAAATTTGAATTGTTTGAATTGAATAAAACACGATTGATAAAAAAAAATTTTTTTTTTTGAAATTTATGAATTTATTGAAAATATACGTATTTTAAATTTGAAGAGTTGAATTGAGAGAGTGTGTGTGTGTGTGTGTATGTGAGCTTTGAATGCAATTGATATTGTCGTAGCCAAGGTAATAATTAGATGCACGCATATAAGAATTTCTAAAAAAAAAAAAAAAGGGAAGACAACCGAATAAAAGGAACTTTATAGAAGCCTTTAAACTTTGTTCTATTTATTTACAGTTAATCCAAGCTTTCTAGGTACAAGAAAGAGGCAGTAACCGAGAACTAAAGTAAATTTGTAAGTTGATTAATTGAAAGAAAATACCGAGTTATTATTATCGGGAGCTGTTTGCAATCAATTGACAAGAGCGGCCCAAAAGTTAATCCATTATCAAAAAGCAACCTTGCAACATCGCCATTTTACAAGAATCAGAAAACTGTAAAAATTTATTACTCCATAATTTAGCTTTAAGAAATGAAATAAAAATAGAATAAAAAGATAAATTAAAATAATTATAACGAATAAACTTATAATATGGTCATTCATCATCTTTTAGTGGATAATAATGAAATCTTTATTTATCTTTGCTTAATATTTTAGAGAAAACGAACTATCCTTACTTGCATAACTTTTTAAGCTTTTTGATTTAGCAACCTCTTTCATCTAATATTCTACTTTTATGATGTGCGAATCACTACCACCACTGCTACTGTTGTTATCATGATTTTATATTTGAACTTTTTTTCAGCAAATCTTGAAAGACTACAATAGTTGGTCTTTTTGATGGATCCGCATCCTAACGCTTCTCCATCATTTGCACATAGCCATAAGGCATTCCTGGTAATATTGGTGGTCGTAAACCTTCTTTACATATATCAAGAATTAAAATGATGGTTGTAAGCCCTATCATCAAATGGCGGGTGTCCTTCAAATATTTCCCACATTAACATCCCAACACTATAAATATCTGATTCTTTTTGCCTCTAAGTAGTTCGGGTGCAACATATGATACAATTCCATAGACTTTATTTGATGATTTTTCAACTTTGTTACTTCTTCAAATTGCTCAAAAGGTATCCACTCTAAAATATATCCTGGCAAAGATGATTCTAATTGACATTGTTGAATAAAATCATCAATTATGTTATTTCCAGATGTCCAATTAGTGAAAAGTCTCTGTAATTGTAAACTAACACAACCTTCACAGAATCTATCAGAGTATCTTGTTAATTTACACTCATTGCATCTTTTGCATTATTTAATTCAAAATTATAAATAAACTCTTCTTTACAATATTCCTTTCCATTTCAGAAAGCTCCTGGTTTTTTTTGACTAATGAAAAAAAATAATCTTTCTACTTTCAGAAATAACTATTGCCTTATCATGCATTTCATTATAAGTTTATATATGGATTTCCTTCTTTCTAATGATAATAATTTATTATGTGACATTATATAAAAATAAATTTAACTTGCTAATGACAGTTACTGTATTTCTTTTTTTCTTTGAGAACCAAATAAATAATTCAATGAGATTAATTATTAATTGACAAATAATTATCTACTACTACTACTATATACTACTGTCATCATGGTAGTGTGCGACTTTTTTACGCTAATAAATTATTAATATAAATTTTGAATAAGCATTGCAGCTTTAATATCCATCATCAAACTTTAGTGATTGATTCATCGTGATTCAAACAATAAAGAAGTTTTAGCATTCTTCTTTTTCTTTGTTTAGTATTTTTATCACTTTTAAAACTTCAAAATTAAACTTACAAACACCTGCACCTAAACCTGTCTCATGTACTACGCAACAATTGTTCTGCGTACTAATATTGATCAGCCTGTGTGTGTTTCAAACTCGGGCACTAAAGACAGCTCAAACACATTAATATTGATACTAATTGACAATGAAGTTAACTACGCGTAATAAAAATTAAATTCTAGTAGCAATAGTAAAAGAAAGAATTGATGAATGACGAATTTAATATTTACTATGAATTTATTATTATATGCGCTGATTTTGTTTGAACCCCAAAATTCAGTACGTTATGAATACTTTATACTAGCAAAAACGCATTGGTTTTGAGGCGGGGTCATTGGTTTGACGGGCTGTTGAATAGTAAAATAGTTTTTAGCAGAAAAAATAAATTTTTTAGGGTTAATTATCATTCTACTAACCAGTTTACACATTAAAAATACTTTGTGTTTAACGCCAAGACTAGTGTTGGTCGCCAAAACTATTTTGAAGAGACGAAAGTCAAAACTAAAATTAAAAGTTATATGACAAAACTAAATCAAAAGTCAAAAATCAAAAATCAAAACTAGTTTCGACTTTTGCACAGTTGCAAAAATCTCTAGTTTTGGAAACCAACACTAGTCAAGACATAATAAGATATAAGGTTTGAAAAAAGGCCAAATCGGCTGATATGTTTATCCTTATTTCGTTTCCCAAAGCTAAATTATAATAATGTTTTTGAAATTATAAAAACTTTTTACAGTTTTTTGATTGTTGTTAAGTGGTAATATTGCGAGATGTCGTTTTGGTTAATTAGCAATCACGGCTTAACTTTTGGGCTAATCTTGTCAGTTAATTTCAAACAATCCTATTCTTGTCAATTAACTAGTTTACGAGTTTACTTTGGTTCCCTCTTTCTTCCACCTAGACTAATCTGTGAGCACACCTAGTGGTACCTAGTGTTGTTGTGACGAAATGTTACCAAAGTTGTAAAACTATTACGTCAAATTCGTCGCCATTAAATCAAAAATGACACAAGTAAAATTGCTTTAAAAGCTAATAAAATATAAAAAAAAAACTTATAAATATATATTCCAAGGTCTTTTTTTTATATTTTTCTTGTGCATCACAATCTCTCCTTTGTTTCATCAGTTGTTCCCATGGAGTCAAGTTTTTCTTTTGCTGAATGCAAATTCAGTTCATTTATAACTTGATACATTATCGGGTAGATAAAATCATCGATTAGTGTAAAAATTTTACGCAAAAGCTTTTTATGTAAATAATTATAAAGTTTTTATAACGTCAACGAAAATTTCGTTAAGGATAACTCGTGATCTTTGTTTGAAAAAGCATAACTTCTGGTCTATGCATAGTATAATTAATCGTTAATAAACTTTAAAAAATAAAAATAAAAATAAAAACATTGTCTTTATTTTTCTTTGTTTAAAGCGCTTTGATAAAAGCAACAAGTGTAGTTAGTGCCGTAACGATTGTGGAGCTCTGGTAAAAGCCATGTTTAATGAGCAAGCGAGCAAGTTTGTACTAGCGTTTGTTAACTAGTGTGTGTTAATGAAATATCGTCCAAAGATTAATCAGAAATACTGATGTTATTAAACAAGATACTTGAGCGTTCTTGGAAGCAAACCAAAGCGGGTAATAAATCGATCACAAGTGAACAAAAGGAACTTTATAGAAGCCCTTGAGCTTTGTAAAAGTCCGTCTTTATTTATTTACAGTTATCTGGCACAATTAATGATGTATGTCGAAACTTTTGACTTTAGTCATTGACGTAACTAAAATATTGACTAAAGATAGTTTCTCACCAGGGCTATTTTGACGATTTGACTAAAGTAAAAAGCCTTTGACATAAGTAAAACCACTTGACGTAAGTAAAAACACTTGACGTAAGTAAAAACGCTTGATACAGGCAAACAATAATGATAATGATAAAATAAGTTTATCAAAAGTCCCAAATTATGTAAAAGTGTGTGTCCCGGGGATTATATCATTGTATGCATATTACAATGATGTAAGAAGGATAATTATCAAGGGAGAAGTTTTACTTAATTAAACTAGTTATTTTTTTCGTATATATTTTTTTTTTTTCAAAATAAAAATGCCTCCTCTTCTTTTTTATAAATTAAAATTATTCTTTTATTATTACATCTCATAAAATCAAATTGTCTTTACATACACTAGTTATGTTAAATCGATGTTTTTTCGAATGTTGATTTTTGAAGTTAACTACGCGTAATAGTAATACACAATAATATTAATAATGTGCTTGATCTGCCTTTAATGTCCGAGTTTGAAGCAACATAGGTTGTTACTTAGAACGGTACATATTTTGTAAATAT